AACTAGTTAAAGATATTACTTTATGTTCTTACCGATCATGTTCGTATTATCCTGTACCCTCTTATATATTATACTAAGTAAAAATTTGTTACATCATACATATGACGAATCATTCAAAATTGACTCAAATGGAATGCTAGCACTCTCTATTAATGGTTATTAATCAACAACGAGTCTGTTACATCCTTGACACAATATGCCAACCCATCCAAAATTGACATAGTGAACTAGAAAATTTCCAGCATCAAGAGTATAGATACGCCTCCCATTCTATTTCTTTGAAACCACGTTAACATCATTTAAGAATGACGTAGGATCCATCCCGTTAAAAGATATTAACATCGAACCACGGGATGAGAGAGAGAAAGAGATTTGGGGTTTGGAATAAAAAGAGAATCATTGAAGAACACTGTGGATGCGGTTGGCCAACCTGGCAATTGAAACCCATAATTCTCTCTCTCTCTCTCTTGACCGACAGAGAAAGCTGCGAATGGCAGACGGCCACGTCATTGCACAGTGAGAATCCACATTTCCCAGTTGACATCTGATTATTTATTAATGTGGGCCCCGCATTTTGAACACGTGTGCATTCTCTCCCCATCTCTTTTTTTCCTTTTTTCTTTTTCTCACCTACATTAAAATGGAAATTATTATTTATTAATTATTATTTTTTTTTCGTTTTTTTTATATTTTTTTTAAAAAGAGAGGTGGTGGGGATTTGTTTTTGTGGTCCCAAAATTGAGTTCTCTAAAAGGGTAGGGTTTTGGTTTTGGTACGAAAAGGATCTTAGATGGGTCTCTCTATATCAACCTCCTCCTCCTTCATTGCTTGCCCCCACCAATTCCTCCTATTTCTCATTTATTGCCCTCCTTTATGCCTCCCAGTAACTTCTCCTCTCCACTCGAACGACCATTTCACTTTATCTGACTTCATTGTTCAACTCGCTCGTACACCTTTTCTGTTAAAAGGAATCGGTAAAACATACGCATGGGACATATATATATCCCACTTCTTTTATCCTTACACTTTTACTTGGACCTGTCGCTCTAATTTATAATTCTAGAGAATTGAGTCGTAAGCAGAGTTTAAGTGAAGATATACTTTTTTTTAAGTCAAGTAAAGATATACTTAGTTGTTGTTGCGAGTGTTTTTGCGCCTGAACAACAACTTATATATTTCTGCGGAGGTATCCGTTGTTCTGAAGTCGTGTGTCGTTGGATATTCTTTTTGCTTTATTGTTGATGTCATGACTTGGTTATTGTATTTTAGGCACTGTTATGCCTTGATATCAATCGAGGCATATTGAGTTTAAGATTGAGTTGGATGAAATTGAAAGTTTAAGATTAAAATTGACTCACTAAATTAAATACAAAAAGAGTGTACAAATTATTAGAAATTAAATAAATTAACTTATATTCTTAATGTAAATTTTAACTTTAATAGTTTCAGGCTCAAATTCGTCTAAAATTAATACAACTTTAGACTTTGAGAGTAACTTTGTTAACATCGAAAATTAATTTAGGGACGATTTAATTATTCAATCACGTACAAGAAATCTTAATTAAGAATCTTTTTGGTTGGACAAAGCTGGTCCATAAGATCACTCATTGATTCAACAAGTTGATTTTTTTTAAAAGTATTCAAAATTGGGGTGCCAAAAGGGGAGAGATCCCCTTTCTATACTTGTGTGAAATATCTTAGAGGTTTCTATTTTTGTGTGGTATTTGTTCATTATTAATCAACCTTTTAATTGATATGATACCACAAAGAGAGGCTACTCAATGGGATGGATAAGTGCTTGACTTAGAATGATATATCTTGTGAAAATTATTCCTAGTATAGTCATAGGAAACATATATGGAACTTTTTGATTAGTTGCTTTGAGTGGGATGCAAAAAAGTTGGCCAAACTTGTAAACAATGAGTCATTGTTGCCTTTGCCTTTAATAATTTTGCTTTCTCACTCATATTTTATCCAAATTTCAACAATTGTGTGGGTTTTATGTCACATCATTTACGAGTTTAAAATGATGAATTACTAAATTATTATATGGATTAGCAAAGGAACATATGGTGTGAATGAAAGAAAGAGATAAATCAATCAGTCGTTATCTCTCTTTCTCTTTCTCTCACTCTCTATCTGTCTCGTCTCTAATTGTGAAGGTTGTGGTTATTCTTTGTCTCCCTTTTTAGATCTCTCCTATTGAAGATGTTTTAATCACTCCCTATCTTTCGCGTTTCCTCTCACTGAAGAGGTTGTAATCCTGTCTCTATTTATCTCTCTAATTTAATTGATGAGATTCTGATCCCTCTTTGTCTTACTTTCTATTTCTCTCATTTTCTAGATTTATCTAATCAAAGATTTTCAAACCATTCTCTATCTTTCTCAAGTTGAAGATGTTACGTTTTACTCCCTACCTCTCTGTCTCTCTAATTGAAGAGATTTCAATCCATCCTTATCTCTTTTCATTCTATAACCAAAGTTTTCTCTCTCTTTAATTGAGAAAACACTTCACATGTTTATCTTTTCAAAATCTTTCAACTCATCTATATGCTTTTAGAATTGACTCAAAATTATATGCAAATACATAATTTCTCTGCATCGCTTCTATTTACCAACTCTTACCCACTACTTTCTAAGAGTAGAATTCAATCTCCCAATAAAAAGTTTCCCTTTTTCCATATTTAATAGGCTACATAATCAAAACCTAAAATTGACAACACACATAAGAGAGAGCATTAAAGCAAAATCACACATCTTTTCCAAACTACAAATAAAAAATTAGTGGAGGAGACCAATGATTTCCACAAAGCTTACTCAATCACACTCATCAACATAGCACCACTATGTTGTTGAAAGTGAACTCAAATCACTCATAATTAACCCCTTTCCCCCAACTTGGTGATCAAGGGAAGAATCATTGGAAAAAGGGTAAAAAGATGAAAAGAAAAGAAAAAAAAGTAAACTTGGGTTTTGGGTGTGGTTTGTTTTTGTTGATATAATTGGTTGCTAGAGAGGAGGGAGTGAGAGATTATTGAAAGGGAAAGAAAACAATGGATAACTATCCAAGGAATCTAGTTGATGTGACCCATTACTTTTAATGCAATAAACTTGTCATGTCTATTTTTAGTGGCAGAAAATCTGAGTTATCACTCCTTGCTGCTAAGATCATGACCACTCTGCTTTCCAAACTTTGTTTATATATCATCCCAATACAATGTAAAAGCCCATCTTCCAATGTGTAAAACAATAGTGTAAAAAAAAGAAAAAGAAAAAAGAAAAAAGAAAAAGAAAAAAGAAAAAAGAAATCTCCCATTTCCTCTTCTCTTTCAAAAATCCCATTTCCCCTCCTCTCTTATAAATACCTCCCTCTCCTCCCTCTCTCCTTAAAGCTTCACCTTTTTCTTCTTTTTTCGCTCTAAAGCTTCAAGCTTTCTTCTTTTTCCTCAAAATCCCAAACACCCATTTGTTTCAATTGGGCAAGTTTCATTCTTTCTTTGTTGAGACCCAAATCAATGGTGGTTTTGTCCAAGCCAGCAATCAAACAGTCTTCTTCTTCTTTGATGATGAGAAACTCCATGGTTACTCCTTCTTCTTCTTCTTCTCCTTCTCCTGCATTTTTCTCCGGAGTTCCATTGATA